TCCACTAGTCCACACACAGGCTGATCAGCACAGAGACAGCAGCTGGAGCAGCTGAGATCGACTTCCTGCACTAACGGCTGCGACACACACATTTCTCACCCTCTTCCTATACAGACGCAGCGGCGTTACGAAATGGAGATGGAGAGAATGAAGCAGATTCACCAGAAGGAGCTGGAGGACAAAGAGGAGGAGCTGGATGATGTGCAGAAGTCATCACAGAGACGAGTACGGAGAGCGGAGAAGAGAGATGGGGGGGTGAGTGAGTGGAATGAGGAACGTGAACTGACTCCCGTTGTCTGTCGTCTGTCTGCGCAGCTCAGGCAGCTGGAGATGCAGCTGGAGCAGGAGTACGAGCAGAAGCAGTTGGTCGTCCATGAGAAACATGACCTGGAGGGGCTGATTGCCACACTATGTGAACAGGTATTGAACTGGGCTCACTTGGGGTGCACTAAGCAGAACTGGGATGTGCTGGTTGGGCATTGACTGCAGTAACGCATGTCACTCTCAGATTGGGCACCGTGATTTTGACGTGGAGAAGCGCTTGCGGCGCGACCTCAAGCGCACCCACGCCCTGCTCAGCGACGCTCAGCTGCTGCTGTCCACCCTGGACTCACCTGGGCAGGGAGCAAGCAGACAAGAGCTGGACCGACTGCACTGCCAGGTACTGCGCACTGATCTCACACACACACACATACTGCACCACTGATCTCACACACACCCTGCACTGCTAATCTCACGCACACACTGCACCACTGATCTCACACACACACTGCACTGCTAATCTCACACACACACACACATACACACACACACACACACACACACACACACTGCACCACTGATCTCACAGACACACTGCAACACTGATCTCACACAAACACACCGCACCACTGATCTCACACACACACTGCACTGCTAATCTCACACACACACACACACCGCACCACTGATCTCACAGACACACTGCACCACTGATCTCACACAAACACACCGCACCACTGATCTCACACACACACTGCACTGCTAATCTCACACACACACACACACACACTGCACCACTGATCTCACAGACACACACTGCACTGCTAATCTCACACACACACACACTGCACCACTGATCTCACA